ACATATGGCAGCAGTCTCTAGTTTGAAGTCTCTGCATGATGTGAAGTCACTATCTTTAATACGTAGGTAAAATATTAATACATGTGAGGTAAAATTTTCATTTCCAATAAGAAAATTTAGGAAATACAACTGTTTAACACATCTTGCATGTCTAAAAGAGCAATGTATGAAACTGAATAGAAGGCAACAGAATTCACACAAAGAACAGGTCAGGTTGGAAGGCACCACAGTGGGTCATCTGATCCAACCTCCCTGCTCAAGCACTGTCATCTCAGAGCACAACGCACAGGATTGTGTCCAGACAGTTCTTCAATATCTCCATTGAGGGAGACTCCACCGCCCCTCTGGGCAACTTGTTTCAGTGCTCCGTCACTGGCACAGTAAAGAAGTTCTGCCTCATATTCAAGTGGAACTTCCTGTGCATCAGGTTCTGCCCGTAGTCTCTTGTCCTATTGCTCAGCACCACTGAACAGAGCCTGGCTCTGTCCTCTTGACACCCTCTCTTTACGTAGTTATAGACACTGATGAGGTCCCCTCTCAGTTGTCTCTTCTCAAGGCTGAACAGGCCCAGCTCTCTCAGCCTTTCCTCATGAGAGAGACGCTCCAGTCCTTTGATTGACTTTGTAGCCCTCCACTGGACCTGCTCCAGGAACTCTGTGTCTCTCTCGTACTGAGGAGCCCAGAACTGGACACAGCGCTCCAGATGTGGCGTCACCAGGCTGAGTAGAGAGGAAGGATCACCTCCCTCAGCCTGCTGGCAGTGATCTTGCTAATGCACCCCACAATTCCATTGGCCCTCTTGGCCACAGTGGCATGCCGCTGGCTCAGGGTCCACCATGGCCCCCAGATCCTTCTCTGCAGAGCTGCTTTCCAGCAGGTCAGGCTCCAGCTTGCACTGGTGAGGGAGTTATTCCTCCCCAGGTGCAGGACCTTGCATTTGCCTTTGTTCAACTTCAATGGCTCTTCTCTGCCCATCTCTCTGGCTTGTCAAGGTCCTTCTAAAGGGTTGCACAGCCCTCTGGGATATTGACCCTCCTCCAGTTTTGTGTCATCACTGAACTTGCTGAGGGGGCATCTGCCCCTTCATCCAAGTAATTGATGAATAAGTTAAAAAAATAATGGGTCCTGTATAGAACCCTGGGGGACACCACTAGTGACAGTCCTCCAAATAGACCCTGTGCCCTTACAAATCCTCTGGGATCTGGCACTCAGCCAGTTCAGTCCACCTCATTGTCCACTCATCCTGTCCACACTTCTTGAGTTTGCCTATGAGAATGTTGCGAGAAACAGTGTCAAAGCCTTACTCAAGTCAAGGTTAACAATATCCACTGTTCTCCCTTCATCGGTCCAGGTAGTTGTTTCATCCTAGAAGGCAATCAGGTGGTCAAATATGATTTATCTTTAGTGAACCCATACTGACTGCTCCTGATCACCTTCTTGTCCTCCATGTGGGTAGAGATGACCTCCAGGATGAGGTGCTCCATCATCTGTCCAGGAATTGAGGTGAGGCTGACTGGCCAGTAGTTCCCTGGGTTCTCCTTCTTACCCTTTTTGAAAACCAGGGTGACATTTGCTTTCTCCCAGTCCTTGGGCATCTATCCTGATCTCCATGACCTTTCAAAGATGATCATGAGCAGCCTGGCTAGAATGTCTGCCAGCTCTCTCAGCACTCATGGATGCATCCCATCTGGGCCTATAAATATTGCAAATCACTTTTCACAGCTTGGTCTTGAATAAGTGGCCTTGAACATTTGCCTCTTGACTAAATAAGAAGGAGCAGCCAGAGAATGAGAAATGAATGCTGGAAACTTAGAGGGGAAAATTTTGTTTTATAGAACACTTTTTATACCTTTATCATGCCCAAAATCCTTTAAAGACGTTTTACAGCAGATGCTTCCACCATCTTCCTTCATGAAGCAATCCCTCTACAATTCAGAAATATCAAATGTCACTGTTGCCACATTCACTTACACCACTCTTCCTATCTTTTGACATGCTGCAGGGAGTAGTAGTGATTCATGGGCACCAATGTGAAAGCTGTGATTTCTCCCAAAGCAAAGACATTTATGATTCATCCTGACTTGTGTAGTTTATGTGGAAGAAAAAATTATCTGCCACAAGCCACCTGAGTTGTTTGTTTTCAAGTAAGTCAAAGAAACTCAATGGCATCACTGTGAAAGACAGAATGAACATGGTGGGGAGGGGGAAGAACAAACAAAACCAAAACAAATCCAAAAAATTTTCGCATTACTTATACTCCAAGTCCTCTAAAGAGAACCAAAAGTTCCTTGGAGGCTTTGCTTGCATGACATGACTGCTTGTTAAATGGGAATAAGAGGCAGATGTTCATAGAAGAAAGAAAAAGGAAAATGCCATGGAGGTAAGATGGTAGGCTTCGTTCCTGCTTCATTTTGTTCAGCCATGACTACTTTAGTCAAAGTGGGAGGGAGAAGTGGTTGGTTATCACAAAACATCTCATCTTTTACCAGGTTCATCAAAAGGATAAAGGACAATTAAGGGACAGGAGCATCTTTCTTATGAGGAAAAGCTGAGGGAACCTGGCGTGTTCTGCCTCACAAAGAGATGACTGAGAGGTTGTGGAGTCTTCTTCACTGAGATATTCAAAACAAATATTCAAAGAATATTCAAAAATCTGGACGCAATCCTGTGCCATGTGCTCTAGGATGGTCCTGATGGAGCAGGGAGGTTGGGACAGATGACCCACTGTGGTCCCTTCCAACCTGACCCATTCTGTGATTCTGTGTGTTTCATCTAAATGTATCATTTGCATAAACATGATACAGAGAAAATCTTTATTGATTTGATTTTATGTATATGGAAATAAAACCAGATGGAGAAGACCGGACACAGGGTACTTGCAACTTTATACTCACATCATTGCAACAAAAGTTCATATTAAGTACAATAAATGATCGTATTGATAGCTCAAGTCCAGAACTAATGTAAAAGCACAGAAAAGGTAGAACTTCTTCAATTAGTAGCACACAGCACAATTCTTCAATACCTTTAATACTTTAACATTTTAGCATTTCTATTGCTGAAATAAATAGTTATTTTATCCCTTTCATTTATTAGTAACGTATTATATTAGTAACATATATTAGTAACATTTCTATTGCTAAAAGAAATACTTATTATATCCCCTTTTATGAATTACTAGAATTTTATATTGTTTTCATTAACACTTGAAATTCAACTTCAGAATGAGCACCATCATAATTCTTTTTGGTTTGAGCACTATTTCCCAAATTGTACATATTTTTGTCTGCTTGCTATTTTTGACAAATATTCATAAGGAAAGATATTATTTTGAAGTCTTAGAAGCAATATAGGACATTTTTATGAAGAGACTTCCAAAGAAAAACTGACTCTAATCTATTCTGTCTTCTGCAGCATGCAGTGGATTTTAACAGGATAGATCATAAAAAAGATGACAATATGAATTCCTGAAGCAGTTTTCTCTAAATACGTTTATAAATAAAAGCATTGATATACATTATGGGCACCTCTCTCTTCTCTCTGCAGGTTCACAACCTTTCTTACATTGCTAGAGATCTGCAGTCACTTTGTGGGCCTGAATCAATGCCAGCATTCTCTTTGTGCAACAGAGCAGAGATAACACTGACCCTTTAAATGTTAATGTTCTGATGTCATTAAAACTCAAAGAAAATATTGACAAAGTCATAGGTAAACATTGCAAAATTTCTTTCCCAGCCTCACAGTAGAATCAGAGCTTTATGACCTCAGCTCCTGGAGCACAGTTTTACATGGTGCTGCCCTATAAAACCAGATCACCTATATTTTTATGGCTCCATAGAAGCCTCATTTTTCTCATAAATATTTTTCCTCCCAGGAGATACTGGGTTAATGGAAGTTAGTGAGCTAATGATGGCATAAAGCAAATGGAGAAGACAACGATCCTTCATTTTCTGGCTTTATCCTGTTTGTCCTCATTGAGACGCTTGTGCTCCAGCCATCTCAGCACCCACAGAGCACAGCTCAGGGACTCAGTCTTCCTCAGTCTTTTTTCTTCCATGGGTGTGACATGAAGAGCCACAAAACAAAAGAAACTGTAAAACGTAGTTTCTTCATAAGGCAGGATGAAGATTCTGTAGTGAGATTTGCCATGCACTGACCCTCTCTTTGGGCCTACAGTGGGGACACTGTAGGGAACACTTTCAGTGATCAACAAGAAAACGTAGCTGAGGCTTCCATAGGCTTGTTATAATTAATAAGAATTTAACTAGGGGAAGACTGGTTTTCCTGAGAATAAATTACTCACTCTACTCTTGAAAACATAGAAAAATTATGAAGTTGATGCATCTCTGACCTGATCCTCAAATCTAACCATTTATTTGTGGTGTTGTAAGTTCATATCTTGCAGAGCTTCTAAGACTTGATCAGCTCAACACTGCATTTGACTGAACAGTGTTGATTATACATGTGCAACATCAAAAAAAAAAAGAAAAAAAGAAAAAAAACCACACCAAAACCAATGATAAACACCATATTTGGCAGTAGTCTCTCAGTGTTCATTAACAATATTGCATTAGCAGATCTCTTCATGTGGCTTAACACATAACATAGTGAGTGGATATGACAGTTTTCAGGACAGAGGAAGCACAGCATAAATACAGTATATAACTTTCACAAATACAGGATTTCCAAAACTCTGGAAATATTATAAAAATAAGAATGAAGCTTCATAAGCAATTAAATACAAACAACTGGGCTTACGTGTTTACTGTACAGTAATTCCTGATAGTGCTTTGCAGAACTGAATTTATTTACAATATTCTGTAAAGAGCAAATGCCATTTCACTCAAAGCTAGATGCATGAAGAAAATAGAGAAAATAGAGATGCTACTTTAAGGTAAATACTTCTTATATCCAATGTCAAGATTTAAGTGGCTTTCAACCATTCATCAAATTCTTACTTTGGCCAAGTTTAATTTTTCAATTACAGTATCAAAATTGAGAGGTCAGTTTTTAAAAAGTTTATTTTTTCAATTACAGTATCAAAATTTAGAGGCCAGTTTTTAAAAAAGGAAGAGATGGCAGCTGTTCCCCATAAACAGATTTTTTAGGTGCCTACATATGGATTTGCAGAACAGACTTAGGCAGACTTTCCTGATAAGCCTAGCTAGTACTTCCATGTCATTTATACAGAAGCATCAGGATCCAGTACTTAATAATTACTTTACAATTATGTTTTTAAACAATTGGCTTCAATCTTTTTGATATTCCAAACATTTTTCACACTCAAACCTACTTTTAACCATGGCTGATAATTAACTGATCCCCTTTAGCAGTACTACTAATCATAACACAGCTGCACCCTGCTTGCCCTTTGACACCTGCTTGATCCTCTTGCAGGTTTTGACTACAGGAGGGAACAGCCCCAAACTTAAAATACCTGAAAAACAAGATAAATAATAACTTTCTTCCCAGCTCTGTCCTTTTACATTACTTCAATTTATCACATACTTCATCTATTAACTTCCACAAATTGGTAATGAGGAGTTTCGTAATGACTCCTCATGTAGGGCATCAAAATACCACAGGCAGACACGCTGTCACATGTCACAGCATGTGAATACACTGGGTGTGTGTACGCATCTGAGGCATTAGGCAACCAGTTTTATCAAGTCTCCGTTTCATAAAGCTCTGGAATTGCAACCGATCCAAGGAGGTAAGAGAGGAGGATGTGCCAGCAGTATCAGCACAGCAACAGCACCAGTGCTCCGGACCCAGAAAGAAAACACTCCCCTGGGGAGGTTTCTTCCAGTCACTTCTCACAGTCCTACTCCACATAACGAACACAGAAAGCAACGAAGCAGCAGCCGACCAGAGCCACCGTGGACGCCGAAATCACAGTGACGGCGCTGCCAGCAACACTAACCAAGAGCCCCAGGCCCACACCAAGGATGATCTGGGCAAGCTGGACCATGCAAGTGAGAGCAGCACAGTCAATGCCCTTCCCTCGTCCGTACTCTCCTGCTTGTTCCCCATCCTGCAGCTTCAGGCTCTGCAAATAAGCACAAAACAAACCCCAGTGAGACGGGATGGTTTTGACAGCATGCAGCTCTTGGCCAGTGCATTGGTATAACCCCGAGGTACAGCAGGGCAGGTCGATAGCTCCCTGCTTCCCTTATTGTATCACAGAGGTTATGGAACACAAACAGAGATTTTACAAGTAACAATGAGTTGCCCAAGGTTCCACTGAATTGTTTGGTTTTTCTCATCTGCAGTTTTTCCCTCTATCCCTTCTCTCAAGGAAGCAATTGAAACTTGACCAAAAAAATTAGGCATTTCTTTCAAATTCAGGTCAATGTGAGCTCTGTCAAACTTACATTTAACAGTACAGGACTGTCATGGATAATTTAGCTCTAACTCATGGCTGAAGGAGAGCCTCAAAGGGATATCATACTATCAAAGAATCATCATAGAATCACAGGATGGTTTGGGTTGGAAGGCACCATAAAGAACATCTAGCTCCAACCTTGCTGCCATGGGCAGGGACATTGCTCAGAGGCCCATCCAACCTGGCTTTCAACACCTCCAGGGAAGGGGCATCCACAGCTTCTCGTGGAAACTTATTCCAGTGCTAACAGTAAATGATTTTTTCCTAATATCTAATTTAAACCTACTTTCAGTTTGAAGCCATTGCTCCTCATCCTGTCACTACGTCCCTTGTAAAAGGTCCCTCTCCATCTTTCTTGCAGGCCCCCTTCAGGTACTGGAAGGCCACAATTAGGTAACATTAAAGCCTTCTCTTCTCCAGGCTGAACAATCCCAAATCTCTCAGCTTGTCCCCATAGAAGAGATACTCCTCCCTCCTAATCAATTTGGTGGCTTCCTCTGAACTCAGTCCAACAGGTTGATGTCCCTCCTGTTGTACAGTCATCCACCCAGAGCTGGATGCAGTGCTCCAGGTGGGTTTCACCAGAGAGAAGCTGAGGGGCAGAATCCCATCCCTCACCTGCTGCCCACCCTGCTTTGGATGCAGCCCAGGACAGGATTGGTTTCTGGGCTGAGTGCACATGGCTGGGTCATGTCCAGCCTCTCACCCACCAGCACACCCAAGTCCTTCTCAGTGGGGCTGCTCTTGATCTGTTCATCCCCAGCCTGTTTTGGTACTGGGGACTGCCCCAACCCAGGTGCAGCACCTTGCACTTGGTCTTGTTAAACCATGTGTGATTCCCATATGCCCACATCTCGAGCTTGTCCAGGCCCCTCTGGATCGCATCCTGTCCTTCAGTTGTGCCAACAGCAGCACTCAGCTTGGTGTCATCTACAAATCTGCTGAGGAGGCACTTGATCCCTTTGTCTATATAATTAATGAAGATATTAAATAACACTGGTCCCAGAAAGGACGCCTGATGGACACCTCTTCTCACTGACGTCCATTGGGACCCTGAGCCATTGACCACTACCCTCTGGATGTGACTGTCCAACTACTTTCTTATCCATCTAACAGTTCACTCATCAAATCCACCTCTTACCAATCTACAGAGAAGGATGTTGTCAAAGATTTTATAGAATTGCAGAAAAATCCTCACACACATACAGGAGCAATGTGCTCTGAAGTTATGATTTAAAGTGTGTAAAGGAATTCAGTACCAAAATCTAAATGTAATGCTTTTCTTGCTGGGGAAAAAAGCAACCTGAAAACAAACGTCCAGACTAGGATACTTGTACACTACTGAGGATCATTGTTACCTACTAATTACCTGTGTATCTGCTATGATGCACATAGCAGAACAAAAACCTTCATTTATTATATACAAGTATCCTGTATATTAGCACCCTGTGAGGCTGGTGGATCACTGGAACAGGTTGACCAGAGGAGTTGTGGAGTCTCCATCCTTGGAATTATTCAAACCAAACCTGGGGCAGCCTGCTCCAGGTGGCCCTCCTTGAGCAGGTTGGACTAAATGATCTCTGGTGGTCCCTTCTAACTTCCAGCTGTTCTGCAATTCCCTCCAGGAAGGAATTATTCTGGGTTTTTTTGAAATTATGTGGTATTTTCATATTTATTTTTCTTCTTGCATAAGCTGTTGCACAGAGGAGGTTGTGTTGTAACAACAAGAGGTTTCCACACTGTAGGCTAGCTGCACTGCTGTCTTTTGGTAGATAAATGCTCATGGTCATTAAGATGCTTTTTGGTTTTTGCAAAACCTATTATCTTGCCTTTGAGCTATTCCCACTCAAGGCTCACAAGTACTGGAAACAAACAGTCTCTTCCTAATCCAGTAGAAAAAATTGAATTTGGATCCTAGGGAACAGCAGCACAGAACAGGAGTTGAAATGGCAACATTGTTAAACCCAGCATATGATTTTGGAAGAATGCATAGTGAGGGAAAATAACTTCTCTTTGTTCTGGAATGATACTATCCCAATTTCAGACACTTTTTTTTAATAAATTATATCTGTTTTGCTAGACTGTTCCCAAGGTTCGTATGTGCCAGTGGTTCTGACCACAAAGACATGAATGTGTAAATATATGCAATTTTGTGTTTGATGTTTCCTCTTTACTTTTTCCTAACCATCTTGTACATTATGAAGATTTGAGCTAAACCTCTATCCATTGGTATCAAATCTAACATAGAATTATACATCATTTAACATCTATCATAGCAAGTACCATACACCAAACAAGAAACAATTGGTTGCCTTACAAGCAACATCTGAATACATTGGCCGATTAAATATAAGTTCATGCACGCATCAGTATGTTTTATTTCACTTCTGTCTTGGAACTGCTCTGAATCAGAGCTAGACTAAAATTTTACCTTTATTCCCTCTCTCTGAGGTGGCTGGCCTGAGGTTAGAATTGCGATCTCGCCCTAAACTGGGTTCATTCCCTGTCCTTTCTTATATCTTTATAAACTCTACATCATGATCATTCTCTGTTGTAAGGAACAAAGAAATAAACTAAAAAATTAGGAATTAGATATGTGAAATATTTAACCCCATTGAGACATCATCCTCCTAGGATTCAATAGAATATAATAATTAAAGAGTTTTATTGTGTTCATCATTCAGAGGGTGTGCCAAACAGTAGGACAAGTTCCCCAGAACTTGATCTAGCCCTTTCCTGGTCTCAACTGTGTTTCTGTGTGGTTTTTCAATGGTTCAGATTTTCCTTTATTAATTTTTTCCGATGTCCCAAGATATACTGAGAACTTTTCCCAAGTCCTCCCAACTCTCCTTGATCCTTCTTGTTCCTAGCTGTCTACTAACTCGAAGACTTGAGAGAACTTTACCATGAAAGAGTTCGACACATTACAATACATGAAGATCCTGCTGTGCTCAATAACAACACACAAGATGTGCAAGCTCTTCCAGATTTTCCTTGGAAACAGTATTTTATGCTGTGGAGGACAAAACCCCAACCACAGACATTTAGAAAGATAATGAGAACGTGGTATACAATTAAATACTAAACTATGTAAAGATGTTTCTACTTGAATTTCATATGTTATTAGCTAAGAGCTTCCACAACACTCTGCAGTTAACTGAAACTTCTGCCAGTCTTTATAGGATTTCTATTAACCTCAGACACTCGTAAGTCAAGTCCTCTGCTAATGCAGCTGAAAGGAACAATATAAGGAAGGTAGCACATGAAGGCAATGCAACTGGAACCCTGTCATCTGCCTACTGCCTGAACACATACTGTGATTTGCTTTGTTTTGTTCATCAGAGACAAATAATTATATGTCTCATTGTAGGACTGTTTGGAGAGTTTGAAGCTGGGACATTAACTCTCTCTGTCAGAATTCATAATATGTGTCATCATTAATAGTTTTGAAATTAAACTTAAAAGCTGTTTATCATTATTTCTACCCAGTTTACCCCCAAAATAGACTGAATAGACACAGACAGACATAAAGTTACACTTCTTTAGACATTGCACTCACCTCTTCTTCCCTGTGGTACTCTGCAATGAGGTGGAATGGCACTGTGTACAGTGTGCTGGACATGACTCCAAAGAGTGAACACAGAGCCAGAGTGGAATAGACATTGGGAAACAAGCCAATTAATCCAGTACCCAGTCCAAAAAGGAGGTATCCAATGAAATAAAGTCCTTTTAATCCTATGTATGGCAGAAGAACTTTCTGCACATCTGTGAAAAGGAAGTGAAAATACTGATAAAACTAAAACAAAACAGGCCACAATTCATCAGAGAGTTCATTAAGGGGTTTTATTTTGTAAAATGAAGTGAAGGAGATAATCTTACTGATTTTGGAAGTAGCCTCAAATTAGTGTAGGTATAATGTTGACAAAGTATACTTGCTCTCTCTGGGGATATTCTGTCATAGCCAGCTCCAGAGAACAAGTAGTTAACCACCATTCTGGAAGAACTGCCCTCATTGACCTTAGAAACGTTAAGGAAACTTCCCTGTCTGACCATCTAGGAGCCACTCTGGCAGTCACACTCTGCACCACTTGAGCTGGGACTGAGGTCCCTTCAAAGCAGGGGGCTCCAGTGAATGGACAGGTCCCCAATTGATTCCTTACACAGCCCACACTCGCACAGTCAGTCCAGGTTTCCTTTCAGGCTCCATCCCAGGTTTCCCACGGCAGTCTCAGACATCTGGATCCTTAAAATAATTTAATCATGGTGCAACAACAGGATAACAGCTTGAACTGGTGCCTTCAAGGAGGGACCCTGAACAAAGGAAACCCTGGGCTCTTATACACTCACAGTCCAAGCTCACAAAAGTCTGGGGTCATTGTCTCCTGCTGTGTTTCTGGGTGTCCAGTCCCTTATCTGGGCCACAGGGCTCTTTTGTTGTGTTCCAAAGGTGAAAAGATTTCTCTTAAGACTCATTTAGATGCTCAGTTCAGCTCCTAAAATGTTACTCACTTGAGTTTTCAGATCACAAAGAGTTTTTTTAATCCCTGGTAAGCATTACAGTGAAACCTATCTGGGGAGCTGTGCTAGCATGTTTATGTGTAGTTTTGGAGAGCAAGACTCAAGCTTCTGGCAGGAATTTCTGCATAGGGAATGCAAGTGGGGAGAGGGCATTCAAGAGCCTACAGCTACAGCATTGCTGGGTGAAAGATCACTTCAGAATTTAGTCTGGCATTTAACTCCAGGACAATTTTCAATGTTCATGGTCAGTTCACGTACAGAACAATGTCTTACTCCCAAAGTGACCCTTCATCATGTGGTCAGGAACTGTTCGTGTAAAGATACGAGTTTCTAACAATGCTGAGAATGTAACATTTCTTAAAGTTTTAATGTGGAAAAAAACCCCAGTTGATTTGGCACCATTTTATGTTTTTTAAACAGTGGTAAACAGCTTCAAAAACACAGTGTTGGAGTTCATTTGTGGGCACTTACAAGAATAGACTGACGAAGAAATTGCATTGATGCACAGTCCCCAGCATCCCATCTCTACTCCTGCTTTGTAGGTAAGGTAAAGTGTGGAGTTGTGAGGTGCATAAGGATTACCCTGGTATACAACCTGAAAGAGACCACAAGGATCACAGAAGGTAAGGATGACTGCAGGTAGAGAATGCTTCTCTCTTACAGGAACAAGTACACAACACAGGGCCTCATCCCTGGTAGGGAGCACCTGGAGAATCTGTTAAGCAGTGTCCTAACCACCCCTCTATAATTCTGCAGGTTTCACACTCACTTCTCCCTGATTATCACATCCCAGGCTCCTCCTCATTTATTACCCTCTGCCTTTTCCTGAACTGTGCATTCTACATTGATTAATTTGCTTTTTTCCTTTGGATGTCTCACTCCCCACTCTCCTTCTCTCTTCATGTCTGCCTTCTTGTCTTAGCCTTTCTTTCCCTAATTTTATCTACAAATAATTTTTTTGTTTTCTCTTTCAGGCTTACCTCAACACACTAATTTTTCCACACAGTAACTGTCTTACTCAGTTCCATATCTAGACAACAAAAACTTTTTTCTTTCAGTCGTTCATATATACTACAGGGAAAAAAACCCCTTCCTCTTGCCTTGCCTATGAAGAGAAAAATGGCAAGGAAATGGGAATACTGCATGGAAACCACAGAAAAAAAGGAAGTGGCAGTGAGCCGATTTGTGCTGGGGGCATATTAGTACTCTGGAAGAAAGGAGGCAGACAGGTTCATGCAGGCAAGAATCGCTGTCAAGGGCATACAGTCCTTCTGCCTGGGAATGGCATGGAAAAGGGAGCACTGGGTGTTATGAAGGCAAATAGTTGCTGGCAGGCCAAAGGGCCTCAGGGCCTCAGGGAAGGATTTACAGAGGTATGGAGGGATAGACCAGCTGAAGAAGACAAGAGCTTTCTGCTACCATGTATCTCAGTGTGTGCAAAGAGCTGCACAGCCTGAGGCCAAGGAGGCTGCAGTGCAGGCGAATGGCTTTGTGTGGACAGTGCCCACGCACTAGGATAAGGCCAGCTGCATCCAAGCATTGCTCCAGTTAGGAAGCCTGCCCATCTCAGAGAAGCTCTGAAGCCAATGCTGAAAATGCGTGTTTGGACAAGCTCTGAGAGCTTCATTTGGAACAGTTAAATAGACACAAACAGCCTTACAAATGATGAAAGGTTTTTCCTGACAATTCAACAGACTGGCTCAGAACAAGGGCCTGACCTCAATTTGCTGTTTTACAAAACCCTTGTTGAGCCATCCAGATACAAATGAATCTGACACCAATCTCATTTCTGCAGGATCATAACATCATTTAGTTTCTTTTTGATGGAAGAGGAGATGCTATTAGGAAGGAGAAGTGAGAGGATTTTACACTTTTACCTGTCCCATGAAATCCGTGAAGAAGAGCATGTTGGACAGGAAAGCCATCCATCCAAAGAGGTGGCTCACACACAGACAGCGATAGTGGGATGGCATGCTTAAAAGTGTCTTCAAGAGTGATTTAAGGGTCATCTGCCTTTGATCCTAAAAGCAAATATTTAAGAATAATTACTGTATTATTACTCCAAAGGCTAATAAACAGCTGATAGCAAGTGAAGAAGGTCTTAGTATCTTTTCAGTGCTAGGCTTCCAAAGTTTTTTATTTTTTGCTAGGAAAGAGTTGCTTGTATACTGAATGTCCTTCAATACATAAAATTCACAGAAACTCTAGGAGAGCTGGGGTATACCAACAAGGAAGTAACATTTCTTGCTGGTATAATCAGTAGGATTATTATTTATGTGTAAAATTTTCTGCCAAAACAGATTCAGGGAGTTTAAAAAAAAACCCAAAACCCAACAACAACAACAAAAACAAAAACAACAAACCAAAACCCCAAACCAACCAAACACAACAGTAAAACCAACGAGAAACAAAAATTATTTCTTTATGGAGACAATAAGCTTTACAATGAAAATTTAAAGCTGCCACAGAAAAAAAAGACATTTAAAATACATTTTGGTATCAGTTGTGGATTTCTAAACATTTCTGAGACCTCATTCCCATTACATTTTATGTGCTAAATTCCCTAGAAATATTCTTTTTCTGGGGAAACTTCTACCTCTTGGGGCATATCACAAGACTTCCACTATGTACTGTCCCCCCTTGTATGAAGCAGGGTAAGCTATGATTCACCACAGGAGATGCAGCACCACTCCAAATCCTGGCACCCACAGAATGTGAGTTCCAGCATCTGAACACCTCATACCATTGGAGAAATAATTCAAAATCAAAACATTATTGGTGCTAGTTAACAAATGTCACTGATGTGGAAAACCCACATTTCTCACCACCTCCAAAGCCTCACATTACCTCCCTCCTCTTTGTCTCAGCACTGTGCCCCAAAACTTTCTCTCAGTTTTTTTCCAGTCAGATTCATCAGATCACTTATACAATTTTAATATTTTTTTAGCACTGTAGGTGTGCTTGAGGAGGTATTTTGATGTGTAATTCTTCCTACATTAAAGCTCCTGAATGGTTCTTTGCTTTTAAATTTAAAAAATACTATTTTATCTGTGCATGATGGAACACTTTTGATTTTCTCTTGCATTTTTTGTAGACAACAGTGTGGGGAGAGATGGTAAGCAAAACTGTATGGTCACAAAATGTGGAAGAACTGTAAAAGTTATGTTAATTACTGTAAATTGCTGGACTAAATTTTGTCTTCACTTTGCTCTAAGATGTAATTTTTTCCTTTCTTCTTTCAATGTCATAGTTACTTTTTACAATTCTTTCATTTGAATTGGGTTATACTGCAAGCTACTCTATGAATAATCACCACATTTAAAGTTGTAAAATACTTTGCTTCAGAGGGAGGTTTTTAATCCTCATAGGAATGCCAAAATTCAAGTTGCTGACTTTCACCTTGAACTACATATTGTCCAAATCCCTTGGAATTTCTCTTGGCATCACTGTCTCTTTTAAACAGGGTAAGCTTTATATTCTTCTACAATTCTAAAAAAACAAACTAAAAATTCCACATTGACTCATTACTGTTATTTCAAGGATACTTACTATCTTTTGATTTGGCTTATTGAGTTTGTTAACTCTTTCTCACAGTTCTTTAAAACTGCCTTTCCAATCAAAGTGTTAAAGCAAGGTCATGGAACTACAAAGGAGACTGCTGTGATTACAAACAATAATTTGACAGCTAGATAGAAATGCTTTCTTTCTATTTAGATGTTTTAGAGACTGGAAATGGAAACTAAAGTCTTTAATGTGGACATTCAATACACACCAACACACAAATCACATGATAATTTAAATAATGTGCTGAAGTTTGGCTCTGTTTAAATGATTTATCCTGCAAAAATACACAATACCAAATAATCTTCTCTGTAAATTCACTACAACTCAAGCCACTAGATGATTTATAAGGATACAGAAGAATCAATATGACTTGAGTATTATGCCAGTGGACCCTGAGTAATTTGGCACCACGCAGAAGAACACAAGGCTAATAGCTTTGGATGTCTGTTCATACTGCAACAGGTCAAATCTTATTAATAATCATGTTAGCTATTAGCATGTGAGAGCACAGTCCTTAATTTAGAAGATAGAGGGCCGTGATGCCTGCAATAATGAAAAAAAGAGTCAGAAAAACAGGAAGCCAAACCATTTCTTTAAGGAAGCAATTACAGTAATGAATGAATCAGAAAACATGTGCCACAAGAGACAGACAATTAAGGCAGTGAGTGTCTAGAATTTATACACACTCAGGCACATCAAAGAAACATGAGACAGATCAAAGGTCTGTCAGACTCTAACAGGCTACCCAGCCTAATCAGAGAGGAGGGCAATGGCACAAGCTTGCTCACAGACACCAGAGCTTCCCCTCGGGTCTCAGATGTTATTGATTCTGTGGAATTAGTTCTTGCCAAGGCAGAGGCTACCCCAATCCACAGTCTGCTCCCAGTACTTCCACTGCATTGCTCTCTCTTCTTCATTTGCTTTCCCTTCTTCAGAGCCCACATGGTCCAAGCAATCAATGACATTCAGCATCTCCAACAATTTGGAGGATGCTCAGAGAGAACAGTGCTGGTGCAGGATGCTGGCTGCTCAAGCTGGCCTACAGTGAGGAAGCTCAGACAGCATCACAGTGTGCTGGTCATATTGTCCGGACAACTGTTACCTTGCTGTCTGCCTCTCTCTGTGTTTGCCTGGCATTCTCATCAGGCAACATTCACCTTACATACCTTTGTCTTGTATTTGGTGTAATAATATTTTTCTTCAGGTTAGAAATACCAAGTGCTATTATAAAAAGAATTACAAAAAGATAATAAATCCTTTTTATTTATAGCTCAAACATGAGTATAGGTTTCTAATTTATAACCATCTGCACATGCTCAGTACTTTTAACCTGATTTAACAAACTTCTTTCAGGGATGGATATACATAATGCCAAGAGATCAAAGGTGAAACTAAAACAAAAAGCAACTCTTTCATCCATTCAAGCAACTGTTTTTGTTATCCATGGCTTACTACGGGTACCATGAGAGAACCATAAGAATTCCTAACACTAAAATCCATCGACAAAATATTAAAAACTGTTCCCAAGACCATTCTAGAAATGTGCTTCCCAGGTATTTTTCTGTTAGATTCACCTTCTCCTAGTTCCTTAGATTGAATCAGCCTCTCATAAAAATGCAGCAGAAACAAAATAACAGCAAAGATTTGAAAGTACTCACAATTCTCTTCTACCTTAAAGTTCTGCCAAAGACACAGCTACAACATCACTTCAAAGTAAAACTAAAACTCTGGTAGCAAGGTAGCATTGCCGTAGAAGTAGAAATTTTAAACACACTTGTACTCTTAATAAATCCTCAATGAAATGTTGTCCAGCAGCAAACCCAAATGTTTACTAGACCAGGGAACACACACTTTATATGTACTAAATATGAAAGTGTTTGGACTTCAGTGGGAATTACAGACCTATATCAAAGATCAGTGATCTATAGTCCTTGTTCAAAATTTGATATTAATTACATCAGGACTAAAAGACAGAGTAGATCCTCTTATCAAAATTCACATGGGGAGCATATCTAGAGACTGACACAGAGCAAAAAACTGAACCTGGTTCTCCCTTGTCCCTTCCAATTGACCAAAGCATCAGAACTAGCCTGTCTCATTCCTCTTGCTGGCAATTCTTTCTAAATAAAAAAAAAAAAAAAGAAAGCAGGCTTTCTCACTCTGTATCCTGGTGAAAGATTCTTTTTCTGTGCATGTAAAAGGGCTCCATTACAAACAGTCAGCATTAGCTAATTAAAGGGTCTCTAAGGATGCAATGATACGTGCCACAAAATCACCTCTGCACTTACCTGTGACACAACTGTGCATTTCCCTGGTTTAGCTGCAGTCTTTATTTCAGTGCATGTTGATTTTAAGTAACCATTCTTGATTTCCTCCTCTGTGGAGTTATATTTATGGGGTTCAGTCACTTCCAACAAGAACTTTGCCTCTTCATTTTTGTATCTGAGTGGGACTTCAGGAATACTGCACAGATGCACGGTAAGGCAGATTATGAAAACCAAGGCTGCGAAGAGGAAAATCACTTGGAATTCCGATGCCAAGGAATATCCTAGTACAGTCTGACCCCAATCCATAGCACCTGTCAGGTAACCCAGGGCTCCTCCCAAACCTATAATGGTGGGGAAAAAAATAAAAATCTACTGGCATTGATAAAATAAACAGAGTACCCAACACCCCCAACATGTGATCTTCTCTAGAAATGACAGAATAATCACTCTTCAGATATTAATCACATGAAGTAGGAATAGCAAGCTAATCACACACATGAGCAGTTACTAAAACATCTCTTAAAAAATCTCCTCAGATCTGGTAGACTGAGCTCTCCCAAAAATGCCTGAACATACAGCAACATGGGCCCCCATCTCTTTTCTTGCCTCTTTGAAGCTCTATTTTCTTTGAAACGGTAGAGTAATACAAGTAAAGCAAAACAGAATTATACTGAAATTTATGGTTTGTGGTTTTTTAAATTTCACAGAACAAACAAATATTTTTTAAATTATATCAAGACTATCTATAGTTTTGACTTTGTAAAATGCATTTTGTATTGCTTCATCTAAACAGAAATACCACCTCCATGTAAAATTTTTTAAAAAACAAAATAAACTCAAAAGCATTGGTTTGGAATTGTACTAATCCAAGTCCCTCACCACTTGGAATAGAAAACAAAAAGGATCAAATGTTTACTTCCATTTACTAATTTTCTCAGAAGAGGTAGACCAAAAGGTAAAATGAGAGTGCTACCTTGTGCCTTGAAGTTAATAAACCCAGTGTTCAGTTAATTTATTTTTTTTTAAATTTCTTCTTTTTGCTATGACTGCACACAGAGATGCGCAAGAAAGCGCACGCTGTTACATTCAGTACAGTGCTCTGGCAGGGGCAGCAGCTTCGTAGAGTCCTGACACCTTGTTAACCAGCTGGCTCTTCAGGATGTGTGGTAGTCCCACAGGCTTTTGAAGGACTTGCAAGCATTTCTACTCTTCTGCCTAGGAGACCTGATGACAGTGTACAGCAAAACAACTCTAACACAAAGTAACAGCACCTACAAAACATGGGATTTTGATTTCATTCTGGGCTTTCTGTATTTTTTTCCCCCCCTCCTGAGTCTGATTATGGCCCTTCTTCATTGTGTCCTATAGCATTTCTCAGGGGACTGTATCCTTGCTTGTTTAATGAAAAACAATTAAGTTGTTAATAGCTTTTTTGAAGAAAATTTCACTACATGTTTGCAGTCTATGTTTGCAGAGAGAATGTTTGACATTTAAAGTTGTCTTTGCATAGTGTTTGACAAAAAGAATCATGATATTGGAATGCAGCCTGAATGTTGCATGTTGGATATGTGAATTCTTCCTTCCACTTGTCTCAGTGGCCATAAGTTTCATAACTACAAAGCTATGAAGTTTCATGTTCAAACCTTAAACTGAAGACAAACTGGAGAGTGAAATCTTAAAAGATATTTAGTATAAAGGGAAGGAACCAAAGTGGAGAAACAAAGTAATATCTCAGACAGAAACTAGAAAAGAAATGGGAAGATTGCTGTCTATGTCTAATTGGGATAAACAAAGGAATGATAAACATAGACTGTACCGAATGGATGTCAAGATTAGATTTTAGGGAAAACTGTCTAATACTGAGGCCGGTGAAGTGTTGGAACAGATTGCTTAGGGAGGGCTGTAGAACCCCTCTCAAGGGAGATTTCAAGAACAGACTAGGGAATTCCCATTTAGGAAGGGTTAAGATACAAATGAATTTGCTACAGAGGGCACAGGTGTTGGATCTAGCCATGCAATCTGCCCTAGTTTTATCTGATATTATTTATCCCCCATCCCTTTTCACAGCTTAGTACACAAATGAATCAGATCCAAATTTGGAGCCTCCAAATGTGGAGCCAAGGAAAAATTGCAACCAGATTTCTGCTGAAGGCAAGAATATACATAGAGACTCATTTCTCTCTCTGTTCAAACAAGTGATTCTTCAAAATTTTATCTGTCAGTTTGTAATGGATAATACTGATTTCACTTCCACGTGGCTTTAAGGTTCCCTTAAAATTTGTGTTCCTGGACACAGGTATTACATATGTCCAAAATCAGCCCACTGTCAATAGCTACTATAGCTCCCTCCTTGAGCAGAGTAACTGCTACTGAATTTACACGGCTCTGCTTCTGGTGTGGCTCTGCAGACACAAACATCTGCTTTAACACAGATTGCATGACTTCTCAGGTAGTCTACTTTTTGTCTAGTCCTTTCACAGTCACTCAGCTCCTCCCAATGCACTTTGCATGTACACAGCCTTACGTGTCTTCCCTGTGCATTGTCTCAACACAGAGCTCATGTACTGCAGATGATTTCATAGAATCACAGAATGTTAAGGGCTTGGAATGGACCTTAAAGTTCACCCAGTCCCAAAGCCCCTGCCATGGGCAGGGACATCTCCCACTAGACCAGGTTGCTCAAGGCCTTATCCAACCTGGCCTTGAACACTGCCAGGGTTGGGGCATCCACAGCTTCCCTGTGATGGGAACCTGTTCCAGTGCCTCACTACCCTCACAGTAAAAAATTTCTTCCTAATATCTAACCTAAATTTCCCCTCTTTCAATTTGTACCAATTATTCCCTGTCCCAATTTGATTAAGAGTCCCTCTCCAGCTTCCCTGTAGGGCCCTTGAGATACTGGAAGTTTGCTGGGAGGTCTCCACACAACCTTCTCTTCTCCAGACTGAACAGCCCCAAGTTCCTCAGCCTATCTTTGTATGGGAGGTGCCTCAGTCCTGTTATTAACTTTGTGGACCTCCTCTGGACTTGCTTCAACAGTTCCATGTCCTGTAAATCAGCAGCATTCCAAACATGTACAGAGACTAATGAAACTGTTAACTTTAGTTGTAAGAACCTGGACTGAACCACTTGGATCTATTTTGTGGAGGTTGTGAAGTTCTGAATATAACGCAGAACTTCCATTTTTATATAGCACATACTGGAGCACTGCTGAAGAAGAGGAATCAACTAGTCTGGTTTGTGCAGCTCTTGCTTTCTGTCACATGCCTAGTTAAAAATGTTCTTTCTATGTGCAATAGCAAGGAAACAAGTTACATTCATTAATTTTTGCTTCACCAAAAACTTGAAAAAAAGTCAAAGCAATCTGAATAAACAGTACTTCATTTTTTAAAATAATTAACTGCTCTCACTTAAATCATGGCTATGTTGCTGTAATTGTTTATGCTTGCAGCCTTCTGCAGCAGAATTCTTGCAGCAGTAATCACAAGTTGCTGTTCCCTGGAGTAGTGAAAACCCAGCAACAAAAGACTCGTGACTGAAGTGCAGGATCAGATGATCAGTTCATTCAAGAGTAGAAACACAGTGAGGATAAAATCCATGCAATCACCTTCCCCTCCTTTGAAAGGAAGGGAGGAAAAGAAGGGATCTGAGTACCTGTAAAGAGGGCGTGGTAATGCAGACCCTTCTCTTTATCCTGATGACAGCAGACATCAAATAAATACGCTTTGATGGGGCCATCAATAAAATCAGCTGCAAAATCAAAAAGCACTACTCCCAGCATGGTAATGACTATTGCCCACGTCCGCCGCTTTTCATTCTCATCGATGAAAGCTACAAAAAGAGAAACACCCTCATTCTGACAGCAACAGTGCCATGTTCTGCAAAACCACATTTTACCTTCCCTGATACCTCCAAATCTAAACAATGACTGGTTATGCAAGAGAGAACAGTGACACCAGAATCAGATCAGAGAAGCAGGAGAACTGAGTCTGTGTAGCCCTGAGATGTGCTAGGTTGACTTACTGCCTTGAGTCAGCACATGCTCAGGGTGCTCCAAGCTCCACAACCAAGAGAATCACTATCCTTAATCTACTCCTTTACACCTCCATGGCGTGCTCTGGTAGACCAACATATGCACTTTGTCGTACTTTTTGGTTTTTTCTATTTGTCCCACCCTTCCATTGTTTTAGATACTCAAGAGTTGACTGCAACATCTCTTTCTGGGTAAACGAAATCAACGATATTCAACATCAATGATATCCAGAAAGAGAGAATAAATCAATCCCTAAAAACACACACCTCCCCCCTCTGCCAAGTCATATATCAGCAACACCTTTTCATCAAGACTTTAAGAAGTTACATCCCAAGCTGAAATATAACAGTATCCGGGCATGTCATTCCTATTTAATTTTGCATATTCCAGGTGCAACAGGGTTTTCAAGGAGTTAAAGACTTCTGTTGTTCACCAGCATGACAAAGTCTCCAGTGCTGCAATAACTAAAGATATGTATTTTTGAATGCTAATCCACTTAAAATAGGGATGAACAGTTTGGATGTGTATTACATCACAAAAACAATATTATCATTTAAGCTAATAAGGTAGATCTTAGTTCATAAAAGCTTCTATGGGGCTAAGCAACTCTTTACTTGTACAAGCTTATCAGGCAACGGAAGGTTGTAATCACACATACAAATTACAGAACACTATGGATATGGTACATAACATGCAGCATTAGGATTGAACATATATGAAGATTTCAGTGCTCCCCAGCTCCTTCAATGCAGCTGAGTCACATGATACTCAATTTTAACAGTCCATTCTAAGAAGGAAAAGAGGAACCCCTCTCTTTCTTGTGATTCAAAAGGCTGAGTTTTGTCTGTCAGTCCATGCCCCTCACTCACCTGAGATCATCACGTCCCCATTGAGGTACAAAGCCATGCCTAACAGCATTGTGATGCCTAGACCCAGAATGTAAGGTCGTCTCCTGCCCCAGCTACAGGTGCAGTGATCACTGGCTGAACCTACCACAGGCTGCAGCACGAAGCCCAGGATAGGGCTGATGAGCCACACCAGGCTGTAGAGGTTCTTGGGCAGCCCTACACTGAGCAGCACCGGCGTGACAAAGGCGGCCTCCACGGCATAGCAGAACTCCCGGCCAAACATCGCCATGCTGTGCATGACCAGCCTTCCCACCGCTTGCTTCCCGGGCGCCACTGCTCCAGTCCTCAGCACTGACTGCCCCAGAGCCTCCTCCTTCTCTCCAGTGCAGTCCATATCAGCCTTGGCCACTTCAGAAGCGGGTGGAGGAACCCTGTGGAAGCTCTCTTTCGTTAAGGTCATTGCTCCAGCTGCGCGCGGCGCTGTGGCGGGTCGGTGCTGCCTGCTCCGGCTGACATGGGGCCCAGATCATATGCCGGGTGGGATCGGTCTGTGCTGGGGGAGGGACTCACATACTTTCATGGCTCTGCGATCACAAGTTATGCCAGGAAGGGGGCGGGGAAGTGTGTGTTAACATTAGCAGATCTGAGCTCTTGGGCGTCTGCACAGCTCCCAACTATCCACAACTAAGGAATTACTGTTTACGCATGAAGCACACGTATAACGGGAACATACATCACATGGTCAAGGCGCAGCATTAGCCTGACACAAAGCTATTCCTCTTGCTGCTCTAAGACAGTAGTGATACCAGGAATCTAGAGCCCTCATCTTTCAATTCAGCAAATATGAACATCAAAGTGCTGATTTGCTGCTGATTGAACAGGGAGAAAAAAAAATCTGTATGTGTCCAGAAAAGGACTTCAATGCACTTCATGAAGATGAGTAAGTGAACCTTCCCATTGCCCTCGAGTGCTAATGGCAGATAAAAAGCTTGACAGAAGTCCGTCAAATAGCAACTGGTAAGTATATTTTTGCATCTGCTGTCTACCACCCTGAGAAGAACTGATTTTTTTTCTTGGTCTCTGAAAACAAAGGTGTGCTGGTTTTGGCTGGGATATCAGGATCACTTAGCTGGGTTCCCTCATATGCCAATAGAAGGCCCCACAAGAAATCTGTAGTGACACACCAAACTGTACCTTTCAGATTAGCCAAGAGAGGCAACTGATCCAACCTGTGCTGAAATAACATGAATTTTCAAATTGACATCAGCAATTTTGGGGTCAAAACTTATGTGCAATGGAGATTACATTTGACAACCTTGACTTTTCTCCAACATGATCAGATGCACCTGGGACTAAGAAAACTGTTGAATCCTACCACAAAGGTGTATAATATTCAGTAATTCACATTAGAGTGATTATCAGCTGGAAACATAAGTTGGTTTTGCTCGTTGTTTAGAAAATTTGTCGGGACCTACTAGACAATTCTGGCTTTCAGGAAAGTGTTCATGTAATAGTATGTAAAGGGTTTTTTTTATGGTAATAATGCTGACGTTTTCACCACGACAGATACAAAATGAGCTGAAGTATACCTCAGTTTTGGAAGCCTTTGTAAACAATAAACTAATCTTCAGCAAAACGCAGACAAAATTATGAAAAAGCCCCAACCCTTCATGTCATAATTTCTCACACACTGGAGTAGAGAATACTGTATTAAGGCCATATAACTAATTCTTCTTAAAAGCATATTTTCCTTTGCCTTAAAAAAGATGGTTTCAAATGACAGTTTAATTTTGAAGGAAATTAAAACCAACACAGAATAACCATTGTTTAAAACCTGTGCAGCTAAGTCACCAAGCACTTTTCCATAAAGAAAGGAAAGGAATAATACTTGGCAGGTATTTTAAAAATAAAAAAAAATTCATTCTGAAGTGAGTTTCTAGCCAAACTGAAATTCCAAATGTAATATAATCAAGAGACTCCACTGAGAAAATGCAGCCAGGCTATTAAACAGATTAACTTTATGGTAATAGCTCTGCAGCAGCACATAAGCAAACAGCATTAATTTGACCATAGTTTTGGTATGATAAAGCAAATTAATTAATATGACAAAATAGAGGAAAAAATCCCTTCTAATCTATGAGTAAACAACAAACTCATTTACAAAGAATATAATTAAATTTTATTAAAAGTATTACCTTCATGTAATTACAACATATATTACAAAGCAATGGTGTAACTAAGAATTAAAAGAAACAAGCCACAGGATTCAATATTTAAACAAAAATTCTAAGAATGTACAGGTGCTTACTAAACAGCCTGTGTAGATCTTCAGAACACAATTATGGTATTATTCTGGACAGCAGATGATCCATGTACATAACTCTCACTGTTTTCAATTATATTTAAAATTTAAATAATTTAAAAATATATATTATTTAAAAGCAATATCATGCAAACATTTATTTGTCATATAATTCAATTTTAATGCACAAAAAATTACTCTATCAGTCTTAAATTTGTACGATATGCACAGTCAGATTATAAATTAGCTTTGGGTTTACCAAATCCTATTATTTTATCAGAATGAAGTTTAGCAATCTCTTGCTTAGTAAACCCATTTTCTAGAAGTATCTCTTCCGTGTGCTCTCCTATAAAAGGATCTCTTTTACACGACGGAACAGCAGGAGTCCTTGATAAAAGAGGAGCAGGTCTAGGACTTATCTCTCCCTGATCATTTTTGATAAAAGAACTTCTTTGTTTGTTATGCTGATGTGAGGCAACATCATCGAAGGATAAAACAGGGGTCACACAGGCATCAGTACCATCAAATATGCTGCACCACTCAGCCTGTGTCTTCTGTGCAAATATGGATGCAAATTTTTTCTTCATTTCGGGCCAGTCGGAGAAACTATTCTGAATGGGAAGTTCATTTGAATCTAACCCAAGACCTGAAAGGAGAAAAGCAGAGGTTAACTATAGTATACCTTAGATTAATTACTAAGTGCTCCCTACAACCAGTATGTTTCTCAAGAAGGTAGTATTTTTTAGGCAGTACTGAAAGTCACTTTAAACTTTATTGAGGCATCTGTGCAGGGCAGGGAGCAGAGGAATAAAATGTTCTATGATGCTTGCAATTAGACTAAACTGCATCAGCTACAGCTTTTTAACGAAGTATATATAATAAACACTAATCTGTATAAACACTTCACAAAAGCAGCAGCTGTCTAGAGATAATATTGTCCTGAGAACAGCTTCTACAATAGGTACTGTATTCTCTACCTGGCAGTAGCAACACAGAAGTCTGCTGAATGGGTCCTGGACTATAGCAACACACTTATCTCACAGAAGCCAGCACATCTGCCAGAGCTAGACACTCAGCAAGTCTGTAGTGTTTGAAGTTCAACACCATCAGGTTATTTCTGTGCCCCAGATGTGGAGATGGTGTGGATGGATGCTCCCAGGCTCAGCGCCTGCAGCCTGACTTGCTTCTTCACTCCCTCAGTCCAAACGGTCTCCAGCAGTGTCTCCTGCTCTCTCTTCTTCAGCACACCTCCCAGGTTCCAGTTCTCCACTGCCACTCTCTGGGAAAAGTGAAACCCCTAGTCCTTTCACTTACTAACTGCTTAAGAACTTTGCCTTCCATGTCAGTTGCAAGGACCACCCAGGTATGCAATATGCATGTTCCTTTTGAGACACAAGAGCAAAGGATGGACACACAGGCTTTGTACTGAAAACTTCCTGAACTAGCAAGTACCAGGTCCTTCCCTCAATTAGCACCACATTCCCTCCCATGCGGGAGCTTACATCTCTTCTGTACTGCCAGTTTCCAATCTCTGTTTCTATTCTCATGGATTCTGCTCTCAGCACTCCCTACTCTTCCATTCTGCTTTTCAAGGAGACGTAAGAATTTTTATTACTTCTTGTAGGGTTTATCTCAAAAAGGAGGTAAAAAACAAGAGAAAAGGTAAGTAAACTACACTTCAAAAATGGAGATAATACAGAAGTACAAGCAGACCTTATGATACCAAATAGAAATCAGAAGTGGTATATTGAAGGCTGTCCAAATAGTTCCATCTTGAAATTCAGGAGCATGAACACAGCAAGAAAAATTCAAAAAAAGCAGGGATAAGAAAGAAGTTCATTTGATCAAGGGTTGGACTTGATGATCTCAGAGGTCCTTTCCAACCCATCTGATTCTACGATTCTATGATTGAGGAATAAGAAAGACTAGAGAACAACTCTCATCACAATGCTTCAAAAGTAACAAAAAAAGGGAGCTGCTTACAAAACAACAGTTCTGTGTCAAAGTCATTGAAAATACAGAGCTCTGCAAACATTTAATTTTGAACATTCTTTCTAGTATCTTTGGATATCTGTTGATCAACAAGTGTTAACAGGCTTGGGTACTAGACAGCTGTTTGCAGGCAGAATTTACATGAAACTCCTCTAATCTTCAGCTGTAGATAGGCAGAAAAAACTTATGGTGTCTTCTATCTCTACAGATTCCTTATCACTGAGAGAGGTAGACATATAGCTACTGAAACATAAAGGGGAGAAGAAAAAAAGACAATGTCTATTCTGCTCTTTATGTTCTTTCTCTCCACTCAATTTCTACAAGATGCACCTCCTGGGGCCTGCAGTTCCCCCCAGCTTAACATAATATTTGAGAATGTCACTGTTGAGCACAGGATTCTTATATAATAGCTTTAAAAATTAATACATGCTTTGAAATTATACTTTGGTATTTCAAAGGAAAAGACACAGAAATTGCCAGTCTCCAGACCCAGAAATACAGCCTTGCAGTTGTTCACTTTTAGAAGAAATTTGTCACAAAGACAAAACAAGCATTTTCAGATCTTATCAGAGATGCCTACGGATATCAGGATGAATGTTACTACAAAGTAAATATCAGTCCTTATGGTGTTACCAAGTCATGGGTACCTTAAATTACTAAACCTACAATCTAGTGCTCATAACAATTCATGCCATCCTAAAAAGAGATCAGCTGAAGATTACTCACAGTGGTTGAACATCTGTAAATAAATAAAAGTTAGCAACACTTCAAAAATTAATTGCATTATTAATTTCCAAAGTATACTACTAAAGATGAACAGCTGCAGTACAATTTACTTACAAACTATGAGGTGAGACAAATTTACCTTCCACAATATGTACAGCTAAGTAACAACACTGCCTGAGATTCTGTCTCAGTGCATGAAATCTTGTCAGCTGGAAACCTTTTTTCATAAGTACTTATTTGCTTATTAATTATAGTTTGGGTCCTAGCAGCCAGTCCAACATGAGCAGAGCTCTACCATTATCCCATTACAGAGTTATATTCAACGGCCGTGGCAGATGGAAAGTTGGCTGAACGTAACCACACACACTCTGGCAGAGCAGAACAATGTGCAGAACCTGGAATTTAATATTACACACTCATTTTCCGTTTACCATTGAAGACTTCAAATTCAAATAGCATGAACCAACAGCCTTTAAGCACTGCAGCTTC